GCCAAAAATGTAATTATGATACATTCCATTCTATCATGACTTAAACTACATTAAACTAACCTATAAATAGCCAAAATGTAATTATGATACATTCCATTCTATCATGACTTAAACTACATTAAACTACCTATGAAATAGCCAAAAATGTAATTATGATACACTCCATTCCACCATGACTTAAACTCATTAAACTACCTATAAAATACCAAAAATGTAATTATGATACATTCCATTCTATCATGACTTGTTGGCTGTGGTATCAAGTGACTTGTTGATTTGAATATTCAAAATCATCTTAATATAACATACTCAAACTTCTGTAAAAGTATAGAAATGAAATACAAATGTTAGAAGATGTGTTTGTTCAGGAAGAAAACTGTCTGTTCAAACTATTCAAAATGAACTTCTCTCCAGCAGGTTTCATTCAGTTCTAGCCAGTTGAACCACTTTTTATTTACTTGTAGTTATACCTAACCAATGGATAACCATCACATTATTAAATTTGGCCACAAATTACCAAACCTAAGGATCTAATCTAATTCCCCATTACTAATATATGGATGCCCCCAGCTGCTTTTTTTTTAAAGCTGCCACTTAGATAATATGATATTTCAGTGTTTTCTTTAGAGAATACATTAGGATCAACAAACATTTTTCCTCAGAGTAACTAATAAATATATTTAAATCACATTTCTTGATTTACATAAATAACATTATTATGTATTTATTATAACCACTTTTGTCTTTCAAGGTGTTAAACAAAACCAGTATTTTCTCTATATGGGTTGTTTTGAATACAAGGTCACAGCAACTACATACACATACGAATGCTGGCCAGAACAACCTCCACACCCTGACACCATAATCCAGGTTGATTTTTGCTTGAGAAAATGAAATGATCATTTGGAGAGTCTGAGCATGCAGTGTCTTGATTTACCAGGGTTTACCAATTCATTCTTTAAATGTGTTGTTTGCATTAAAAGTATAGTAATCAGTACCTATAGAAGGAAGGGGGGGGGGGGCTAACACTAAGAAAGGTTGGGATTTTATGTGATAAAATATAGTAGAAATTACTAATATGGATATCAAATATTTATTATAATACAACATCAGATTGGTTCTCTTCTGAACAAGAAATGGCCTACTATTTTATTATATTAACATACTATCCTATTTTTTCTTTGGTCCCAGTGAAGGACATAAGGTCACAGCATTGACCATTTAATTCTTTCACCTTTACAGATGTATTAACAATTTCTTTATTGTTTCAAATTATAACATATCCAGAGTGTTAAAATTAATATATGCAATCCTTTTTTTTTCTTACAGAAACCCAAAAGTTTAAAGTTTTCATGCACCTAGAACTAGCTGTTTTAATCTTTCAACAAATGTTTAGTAAATTTATTAATAATTCTATAGGTACCTGCAACTAGATCTTAAAAACAAGAGAAATATGGCATTCAAGTTTTAATACCAATGATTTTATCAAGTGTTATAGCTATAATATAGTTTTATATTTAAAATAAACCTCGTAATATAGTTATGCTATTAAACTCTTTGGTATTTTAATATTTTGTCGCTTTATTTAAGAAAATGAAATGAAGATTACTTGAATAGTCTAAGCATGCAGTGCCTTGCTTTGCTAGGTTTATTGACCTGTTTTTTTAGATAGACAATACAATTTGTACTTGGAGGCTACACTATTCATCTGTTGCATTAACATTCTTCTGTTAAAACAAGTGCAAGTGTTTGTGAAATTTACAGCTTTGAGTAACTTCTACTTGTTAATAATCATATAAATTTACAGAAACTCTAGAAGAAGAAAAAATAAGATGGTGCCTTGTTCATGTTTTAATACACCTACTTATAAGAATATTAAATAACTGTTTATATCACTCAAAAATACAGAAAGTTAATCACACTTTAGAACAATTTGCGCATGTTAATACAGTGCTTGTCACTGCCAGTGAGACATATTTAGCATGGGATATTTGGTTCATGGCAAATTTTCAAACATTCTGCCAGTTCCCAGTGTAAAAGTAAGAGACACATGACTTCAGTATGTATAAACCAAATCCTAGGATATTAAAGCTTAGTCTTTTTTTTTAGATAACAGGAAATATGCAAAAAATGCATAATTTAAGATAAGTTGAGCTTTAACCTATGTTCTACCCTAAATTACCAAATGTCTGGCATAATTGTGTTATTTTTATTTTGCATGGTTTTTGAGTAATAGCAAAAGTGGTATACTGTTTGTTTTCTATGGGGGAAAAGCTATCTGGGATATTATTTTTGTTTATATTTTTTGGTAATATTTGGTATTCTACTCTTCCACTAAATTACTTATGTCTAGTTCTACTTCAATAAAACAGAGTAGTGATATCACTTCAGTACAGTGAACAACTAAAATGTTCCATGATAGTTAGTTTGGGAAAAAAATTAAGAAATACTGGTGGAATAGTCCTAGGGATTATTGTGTACAGAGTGTGATTTTATGGGTCCATGGTTTGCATCCCATTGCCACAAAAACAAACACTATACTCTGGTGGCATGGGTGTGTTATTAAAATGAACAATCAAATCCCACTGTAGTAGCCCATAGTTTGTAGAGGTGCTGTTGACTAGCTGCCATCCCTGTAGACTATCCCTGAATTAAAAATTAGGGATAGCTAGCACAGACAGCCATTGTGTAGCTTTGTATGAATTTCCAAAACAAACTTCAAGAAAGGCTGTTCTGAATAGAATAAACAAATATAAAAAGTTGAACACAAAATAAAATGGCCTTGCAGATAATTTGAAAATCATTTCTCAATGTCTTATGCTTTTATCAACATTTATATGTTTACTTTTGCTTTTTTTCAGATAATTCTGTGTAACTTTACCGTTCTGCACCTTCTACGTCAGAGAAAATATTAGCATGTTTTTCCACACAGATCCCGGAATGACCAAATAGTATCACAGGTTCTACCTAGAAAAATTGTCAACTAATTAAGTGCCATACATATCTTTGAAATTCTACAATCTACTATACTTTTTTAATCGAATAATGTGAAGGTGTATTCATGGTGTTTAAAAATCACCATATCGCTTACTTTGTTTCAAATGATTATCTTTATTAGATTATTTCAATTATAATATTTATTCAATTTTTTTCTCAACTTTTGTGAGATTTATTATATTTGATGGTGTGAGTTCAAGTTTTGTAAACTTAATGCACTTGTTCACAATGAACTTATTTTTTTTTTATAGATAAGATCTGTAATATCTTCTGTACAGTAGGGTGTATTTCTTCATTCTCTTTTGTTCTATTTTAGATTTTTAAGAATGAAGATTTTATTTGATAGTATGAAATGAAATAATGATATAAGTTAATTGCTGTAGGTAGGGTTTTGTTGTTGACTCACAACAAAATATTTTCTTACATTTAATTGGTTATTCTTGTGTTGAACAATATATCTTGTAAGTCGAGTTTGAAACATACTTGTTTTTGTGTTTTGTTTTCTACCTTAAAAAATTGGATTTGCTCAATATGTTTAATTGGCGCTTTGGGAAGCACATCAGTGCCTTTCAGTTGTTTTTGTATAGAAAAGTTGGTGTCTAAATTGGATTAAAACTGAAAGTATTCCTATGAAATTCATGGTAGTATACTGAGAGAAAAACATGTTAAGGGTTTGTAACTTAAATTAACCAGAATTGTATTACATAGTACAAAAAATTGATGATTCTAATACTAATAAATACAAACTTACCCACTTGTCTTCTGCTATCATGAATCGTCTTTAATAGTTTCTATTTTATGAAATGAAGTTTCACAAGTATCATTAGATAGAAAAGTTTTAACTTAATTAAAGGCATTAAAAAAAGGGGAAAAAATGTTTCAAACAGAACATTTCTTGTGAATTTTAGGGTGAGAAATTTGATGTGAAGTTATTTTTCAAAGCTCTGTATTGCTCAGTTTGGCTTTTATTTTCACTTTTAATGATTAAAACTTGAAAAATGGTTCTAAAAAAGTTATCCTAGTTTGATTACTACTGTTGCATATTAATTGACTTAAGTTTGAATAATTGGCTACAGAGAATGCATGAATTTTCTATATTTTTTGTTCATACATATAAATAATAATAGCACTTTGAAATTTAAGAAATATCTCAAACTTTGCTTAATACCTATCAAAAGTTTTTTATGGTATCAAGCATGCATTTTTCTGTATAACAAAATGTTTATTAGTCTACAATTCAAATAATCTATTAATCAGAAATTAAGGTATTATATTTGTTGTATTGCTCTGGAGATGTGTGTTTCTGTTGAACAAACCGTTTCTGCACATATAGTTAGTAATGTACTTGATGTTATTGGTTGTCATATTATGTGGTAGGCTAGTTTTATAGGTATGATAACTGTATACTTCCATTTGGAATTTTAAAGCTTACCTAAACTTCTTAGAACTGAATACTGTTGTAGTGTTATTAAACACATCACATATACATATCAAGTACTTGTAGAAATATATTTTCTGCACATACACTTCACCAACCTGTCCTTTCAAACATACATATCAAGTACTTGTAGAGATAGATTTTCTACATATAATTAATGTAATAATTTGATATTCATTAGTATCTGAAACAGTATCAGTATTTTTTTCTTTAATCCAGAGTAAGTTGAGTTTTTTTCAATATCGTCAACTTTATATTACAAACAAAAAAAATGCTATCCTAATTATAGACAGGATTTTTGAAAGTAATATAACTCCACAAATTTTGAATGAAAGAACTTGTGCAATACAATATTTTCTTTGTGTATTATACTACTTTTAGAATATGAACTATTTTCCTTCATTTAACTAAATTAAGGTCATTAACATTTAAAAAAAGAGTAAAAAAAGTTTCAACTAAAACATTTCTTGTGAATTTTGTGGTGAAAAATTTGATATGAAGTTATTTTTTAAAAAATCAGTAGTGCTATTTTTTTTTCTCTTATTTTCACTTTTATAATTAAAACTTGAAAAACGTAAGCATTTAATGTTTCATATGTACTCTAAGTGCAGCAGTACATATATACTGTAAGTTATATAATTACCATCATTATGAGAGGAAATAAGTCATTAGTTTTTAGGTTAGATGTTTCTGTGTTTGATAAACATATAAAAACGTTATTTATTAAAAGCATTTTTCATTTCAATAACAAATTATTTAAAGTAAAAGTTGTTGATTTTATATTTGTTAAAACTTTTAGACAGGCCAAAGTTAAAATGATTAAAGAAATTTCAGGTTTGAGTTGAATGTTAAAAGTAACAGTATTATTTCACATTCTTTTTCTATGTGACAGCTAGTGTACATTTTTAATTGTGTAATTCAAAAATCATTTGTCTGACACAAAATTAGTTGAATCAGCCCCCCAAAAATGTTAGGATAATATTTATGTGCTTACAACACTTAAATATTCCTGGAAGACATTATTACCAATGTGCAATAAATATGAACCTGAAACATATGTTAACATGCTATACCTATACACTTGTTTGATTTTAAGATAATAGAATAGCTCAGATTTTTTAATTTGGTTAAGCATTAAATTATAATAGTTAATAGCTCATTCATAAATATAACTAACTGCTAAGTTATTTTCATAACATCATATACAAAAATTTGTGATAGCATTCAATGTTTCTAGTTTCTTACAAATACAAAATTGTTTATAACATAAATAGCATTTTGATGCAACTTTGAAACAGTCACTCTTTTGTGTATTAGGTAGTAGGGAGGTAAATTGTTTAGTCATAATAATTTGTGTTTGATCAAGAGTAATTACATGCTGCAACATAATACTAATAATTTTTTAATCAAGTTAAGACTTGTTAATATAAAGTGCTCAAAATAATAATGTCTATAGAAGTACTTAGGTGTAAGAAAATGAGATTTTATTAATAAATGTAAAAATATTTGATAAAATTTATTTAGAGCAAAATTATGATGAATGCAAATGATATACTAAATAAAGTTCTGTAATTAGTAATAGTATTTATTATTTATCCTAGAAACTACACAAATTCTTAAACATATCACTACAGAATATAGAATCGATTATTACATACAACTGTATGTTCTTTGTCTAATTTAATAAAAAATATATCATAGACTTTACTTCAAAATTATTTCGTTTTCGTTTCAGAAGTAAATGCCCTATTACAATGGTCTTTTTTTTCCACTTAAAACAATACTTCTAGAACATATTAATAAGTATGTGTCTTACAAAATAATAAGAATTTGGTCATTACAAGTTTGACTCAATGAGCATTAAGAAAAAGTCATTAAATCAAGATGTATGTTCTTTGTCTAATTTAATAAAAAATATATCATAGACTTTACTTCAAAATTATTTCCTTTTTGTTTCAGAAATAAATGCCCTATTACAATGGTATTTTTTTTTCCACTTAAAACAATACTTCTAGAACATATTAATAAGTATGTGTCTTACAAAATAATAAGAATTTGGTCACTACAAGTTTGACTCAATGAGCATTAAGAAAAAGTCATTAAATCAAGATTATATGTAAGCAAACATTTATGTAAGATAAACATGTTCAGTGTGGAAGACTACAAATAAAACACTGAATTTTGTCAAGGTTCTGTGATATATGTATAAAGATATGCTGGAGTTTTCAATTAAATTTAATTTTATCTTAATTATCAGCATAATAAGAATATAATTTTATTATTAGCTTCTTGAAATCAACTACATGACTGAAGATAATATCTGCTAGATAGTTGTCATAGATCTAATATGACTTTATCTAAACCTGTAAGAAATATGTGGGGCACACGAAGGTAAATGAATTTGCAAGAATGTGAGCCAGGCATGCATGGCCAAGTGGATTATATGCTCAGCTGTCGATTGGAGGGCTCAACGTTCAAGCCGAAATATGCAGCTGAACATGTTCTGCACTTTCAGCTATGGGAATATTATAATTGTGACTGTTAATCCACATGTTTGATTAATAGAAGATACTAGGTGGCATATGCTACTGACAGTTTGCATCCTTTCAGTCAGCAGCTCTAAATTATAGGTGGTAATATCTGAGTCTTGTGATGTCTGAATTGACCATTTAACTCATCTTGTCATATAAAGTGCCATTCAGGTTCAAAAATACAAAATACCTAGTGCATGAATAAAACAGGTAGTTGAAGTGATGCAATTTATAATTCAGACTCATAGTGTAACACTCCTTCTACACTTATGTCAAATGTAACGTTTTTCTGTGCCAAAAGAGAATAGTATTTACTAAGATAGTTGTTTAAATGCTGAAAGCTGATGAAGCATTAGAAACCAATAGGCCTAAAAGTAAAGTTGCAAAAATATCAATTGATGAATTTGTTTTCTTTCTCACATTCCTGTTAATTTGTCCATTGTGGATTCAAGTATAAGATCTGAAATGCAATTTTTACATGTCTCTGGTTTTGAATCTACAATGAACAAATTAAGAGGAATGTTGGGAAAAAACATCTACAGTTAAGATGAATTTTATTATAAATTTTAGGCCTATTACAATTTCTATAAGTATTTACTAATTTTAGGCATAGTACTTCAAATAAAGGTTTACTTTCACTAGTGTTATCTGTTAATATTATTAATGGTAGTGAAGTTTTTTCAAAAAGCTATTGTAAAATTTACACAAAAATCAGTAACTATAAAGCATTGTTGTTAAATAATGGAAATTTAAAACAAATGATTTTTTTATGAGCCTACAGAACACTTTTTTGTGAGTTCTTTGGCCTTTTGGTTATCATCTCTATTTGAATATTATTAAATTTCATGATTTAAAATTAACTTACTATAGCAAAACATACCATTAATTTTATAAGCACTTGAAGCTAGTTTTAGAAATGTAATGAAGAATAGTATTGCCTAATGCCTTGCTGTCTATTTAACAAGCCCTGGTGGCTCATCAGTAAATTTGAGAACCTATCTAACTAAAAATCAGGTTTCATTTCAATACTCACTGTGGGCCGAGCACAGATAGCACATTATGTAGCTTTGTACTTAACACCATAAAAGCAAACCTCTAAATGACTTTACTGCCAGTGATTAAGTTGCATTTAAGATAAATGATATAATCTTTTCATTTTTGAAATAATTTGTTATATTATTATACTTAGCACAAGATCAAGAAATACCATTTTTAAAGTGCCAAGTTATTCAATCACTAAACTGGATTTTATTCTTATAACTTTTTATATTTAAGCCTATTCAGTCTGTCTTGATAATTATGACACATAATTCTAATTATAAAATTTGGTTTAAATGTACTAAGTTCTTTGCATGAAAACATTTTAATGTTGGTATTCAGTGTATAATATAACAAAAGGGAACTGTAAGAACAAAAATATTTACATAACTTTTTATGTAGTTTAGACTCAATAAAATATTATGTTTTATCTCTATCAGCACTTAAAATTTTTATAACTTTGCTCTACAAGAAAGATAATTGCCAAATTTTAGTGCCAAGTTGTTCATGTAACTTATTTGAGATTTTGTTTAAGCTTTTTTTTTTTTTTTATCAAAAGGTATGCTTTTACACCTGACTTAAGCTTGTATATAGTTGTACTAGGTACATAATTATAGTGTTTTTACAGCTTCATTTATTTGAACCTATTTTGTAAGAATTGTCTGTACTTTTGGGGATTATACTTATAACTATTTTAATTGATAGCACCAAAATGTAGACACTTTGTAAATCTAGTGCGTTATTCTTACAACCGTTATAGCACTGCATAGCATTTAAATGGATAAGAATACAGGCTAAGCAATTTGTATGTACAATACCTATAAGTGCTCCTAAACTAATAAAATTAAACAATAGGAGACTTTAACTTATTCTTAATATTCCTGCACTTTACCATTACAACAAATTGAATCACAATGAATCATTATAGCAGGTTTATGTTGATTACATATTATTTTCTAGCATTTTGGTGTTACATTGTTGAAGTTTTCACAGAATTATTATCTGTATGTTGCATTGCAAGATCACAATTTTACTAGACATTTTAATGAAAGTTAAGTCCTTTGTATCATATTTATTTTTCATTTACCGTTATTAATTGGTCAAATTATTGGTTAATTATACCAGATATATATGTTTCCTCTTGTGCACATTACTCATGCAAATAAGATGTGTTTACAGAGACTATCATGGATAAATAGTCCCCTGTGTTTTTGCAAAATACAAAATAGACAATTTAGTATTTCACACTACACATTTTAAGGTTGCTTCTATCTAGGTAAATTTATAGATATTTTTAGAATATGTATACATTCTCACACATAAAGGTGACAATAAAAGCAATAATATCAAAACTTTTAAAGTAATAAATAGGTACACAATTAAAAACATTTTAATTAAAGCCTATCTATGACCACCAAAAAGTTGACTCTGCATGTTTCGATGTTGCAACTTCATCTTCAGTAAAAATCATAAAAAATATTCAACGTTAAACTGGTACACAGTTA